ACCCAAACCCCAATAAATGCAGTGCCGCCCAGAATCCACACCAATTCGCGAACTTTTTGATCTTCCGAAGATTCATAAAAGTCTGACAGCTTGGGCTCTGGCAGCAAAGAAATAATGTTTTTAATGGTCAATTCCGAATAAGCAAGCAAAGCTTCGTCCATGTTGATAAATGTAGTTTTACTCGCAGGCTCATGCCTCATGCGCTCGTTTAGAAAATCCAACAGATGTATGCGATTTTGTTCCCAGGCTTGTTTTGCTTGCGGCAATCGTTCCAAAGCAAGATCGTGTCGATTCCGCTCTTCGTCGACCTTATTTTGAGATAAACTGCCAAATAAAAATCGGACCCTGTGAATGCCAATGCATTGACTATCATTAAAGCGCTTGCCATTTTATTTTATAAACGTTTTATTTCATTATTTTTAAACATGGATCTAATTAAAGACCAATTGGCAGAAATTCAAGCCGATCAAACAAACATTGAGGGTATGCTAGGCGACATGCAAGCCGACGTTGATCACAACTCTGACATGCTTTTAGAGATCCACGACGTGTTAGCAGAAATGAGAGTCGAACCTTTCCACAAGCGTGATCTATTGGGTAAATATGAAGATCTTTTCTTTGCAGCAGGTGTATCGTTGATCGCAATTTCGTTTATGTTTGTGATTTGGAAATAAATATAAAAATGTTTATAATAAAATATGACGAGTCAATACACAAAGAAATTGAACCCCAGTCGTCGGTTAAAAATACCACGAGCTATCAAGGGCGAAAGACGTGAAGTCACTGTTACACATAATCCGAGCACCATAGCAGCCAGTCACACTCTAAACGTCAAATTTCCCACATTGGCTTTCAAAGTGGAACTGGATGGAGCCTCAGATGACAATCGAACCGTTTACAACAACGTCGCGCGTAACCTAGTATCGGAACTTAATATTAGCTTACAGGGCAAAATCTGTCAGTTACCGCGATGCAGACGTATTTCACAATTTTAAAAACAACTGGTTGCCGGTATCACAAATGAAAAATATGGCTTACTTTGGTCTGGAACATGAAAACATGGCCAAGTTACGTTTGGGAGCAGCAAATGGTACTGCATCATTAAACAACTATCAAGATACAGCCATTGCCGATGCGTATAAAAACAGATATGCCATACCATTAGACATACCGCTCAGTATTGGCCGATCATTTGCCTTTTTATCCATTGGTTTTAAAGAGCATTGACGTACCAACTGACACTTAATAATCACGAGAAAGTGGTCAAGTCGCCTGACACGGCCGCAGAGTACAGCATTTTGGATTTAACGTTAGAGTATGAAGTCGTCCCAATCGCAATTTGGCAAAGAGTTTGCGGCAAAAGCACAAGGGAAACGTTTATTACCTTTTCGACCGGATTCACCCATAGAAAAAGCAAGCGGTTAATATATCAGACACGCTGCGGAATATTAGCATAGATCAGACTATTAAAAGTCTGACAGGTCTTTTGATTTTATTCAAATATCTGTCAGTTAAAAATCCACAAAGATTTACAATCCACATGTTACGAAACCCAGCGTAACCGAATCGCGATGTGGGGTTGTGAAAGATCTGAATCTTACTGGCATTGATATGGGCAATTTCCTGAAAGATAAATACGGGCTATGGCTCGATTTCAGAAGTTCCGATGATAGCTCGGTGCATGGGTCGGGTAGGGGATGATATTTCAATGCAAATGGAATGAGACCCAGAAACTGCAGGTCCGCTATACACGTACGTGTTTTTGGTGATGGATGCGCAGTTAACAGTGGAAGACAGCAACTTTAAAAGTCTGGTTTATTAAAAACCATGTATAAATCACCACACTGCGCTTTAATTGTTGGAAAGACTGGCAGCGGGAAAACTCAGTGGGTACTTGATCTTTTGGAACAGGAGTACAGGTTTGCATTTGAAGGAATCATGATCATATGTCCGACGTTATTTATAAATAAAACGTATTTGGATCGGCTGTGGATTTATACAGATGAAAATGTACACCTGTGGGATTCAGACCAAGAGAAACTCAACTTGAATGAATCCGTCGACTTGTACCAAAAAGCGTTTGATGGCATAAATACGCTGTTCATCATAAGATGATTGCAGTTCTTATCAGGATATCAAATAGACAAAGACAAAGACAGGCAACACCTGTATGCTGAGCAAAATGGCCGACAGACAGTAGTCGACATTACTTGCACAGTTGTTGGCTCTTGACTCAGAAATTTAACTCAATTTTAAAAGACTACCGCAAGCAGACTTCTTGGATTAGTCTCTTTTACAAAAAGGATAAAAATTCATTTGCTCAAGTGCTTGATGAAAATGATGTTGCTCCCCAACGAAGAAATAGAATCAATAAAAAAACACTTGAGAGATGTGAAATTTAGTAAATTAATTATCAGTACGGAGCCTCCAGTGTCATATTTGCTCCAATAAAAAATTTTTAAAAATTAATAAATAAATAATGTATATTATAAATTAAGATGGAGACAAAATTGTGTAACCGATGTAAGAAAGAAAAAGACTTAGCATTATTTAAAATTAAAGGTAACAGTGAAATATTCACAGGGTGTATACAATGTAACGATTCAGCAAAAATGTATAGTGCGCGTTATAAATGTGAACGAGGAAAACGGAAATACATTTGCAAAGATTGTGGAGGCATTGACAATATTGTGTTGAGTGTTATGGCGCTTCAATATGCCAGCATAAAAATCAAAGATCTCATTGCGTCAAATGCAATGGCACTTCCATATGTCAACGTAAAAAAACAAAAGTTTCATTGTAAGATATGTAGTGATGAAATTAAAATTACTATTAATCAATGGATTATAAATTGACAGTATGTAAAGATAAAAATCACAATCGATTTGACCCAGATCATTTTATAGATGCTGACTTTCTGCGTGGATTAATAGAGGATCACGAGTATTGTTATCATGAAGATTGCAAAATAAAACTACAATATTTTAGAATAAACATCAGACGCAGCTACTATTGAACAATTAGATAATTCAATAGGTCATATTAAAAGCAATAGCACATTGTGCTCTCTGGCTTGCAAAGCTAAGAAGAAGTCTAACAAACGTAAAACAACTGATGAACTGGAATAAACTACTTATTATTTGCTTAAAATTTGTTTTTAAATTGCTACAGTTGGGCTAATTGCAGCTCTACTGTAGCATTTTTTTAGTTTGCTGTAACTAAATGATACCAATGCTATAATTACTTCAAGTAGTTATCGAGCTAGTTATTGCAAGTAACTTGACATATTACACCTGCAAATATTTACGCGGCAACAAATTTGAAAATCATATAATAAAATGGACGACATCAAAAGCATACTCAGTGCAAAACAAGAACCCATCGAACCCAACCCCAACGTTAAACATCAACTGTGTTCAGTAGTAGCCTCGGGTGAATCTAGAAAGTACCTGGACAAGGAATATTCTGTGAAAGACATCAAATCTTTTAATCCAGCCGAACAGCAGAAATTATTCAACTTGTACGAAGTACGATTCAGTATAAAAGAAATTGTAAAAACATTCGATAATTTGATTTTGAGTCTATACGCGCGGAGTTTAGGCATAGCTACCCCAGTCGAATTCCTTGGATTCAATTTCGATTTGAAATCAGTAGAAGATCTGACCAAAGACCTGAACAATGACCCAATAATCAGCCAATCGATGGGCCACCTACTTAGCAAAAATTTGCTATAAATATGGGGTGTACATATTGTGGCGGGACAACTGACACCTTTTTGTGGCGGACCAGCAGACTGGCCTGATCTGAGATAGAATTGACCTGGCCTAACCCCACAAATATATTTATTTAACCTTACGCAAGAATGAGCGGC